AAACAATTAATAAAATATAACTGCTGTGATACATTTAACTCTTATTTTAAATATCGATATTTAAACGTTTATCGATATAAAATTGAAAATCAATGAGGATTGTAAATACCTGAAAATACAAATAGCATGAAAATTCTTTCAACATTTTTTACATTTAGTTTTGTAATATGTGTACATATAAACATTTTTGCTTTTAGTTGCGCTTAGTAAATAAAAGCATTTTCGTTTAATTGCAACAATTTTAGGTATTTTTATGTTTAAACGGGGTTTCCGAGGACCTTGGAAAATTTAATAACTAATTTAATTTAATTTAATAATTTAAAAAATTAAATAAAATTTAATATAAAGTTTATTTAATAAATTTATGTTAAAGTTAAGAGAAATTTCTTTTTAAAATACCACTTCTGGATACTTTTGTGATCTGGTAATGTTGAACTTTTATATTGAAATATTTTATTTTAAAAGTGTCATATGATGGGAATCCCATATAAATTAAATGATCGAGATTTTTAACCACTTTTTAAAATTTTTAAGGCTTTTGGGAGTTTTGCAAGATAATTGTCCAATTATTTCAAGAGGATAAAGAGAAAACCACTTTGCTATCGATGATTATGAAATGAGAAGACAGTTTTTTGAAAATAAATATAGCTAATGAGTACCTATTTAATGAATCAGATGATTAAATAAATGAGTTTTTATACACATCAACTTGATATACGTCAAGGTTTCTTTCTCTCAATTGCTTAAGTTTACATTTCATACAGCTGCAACTATTCGTAGAATATCATTGAAATAAATTAATTACTAAGTATGTTAGGTTGAATACAAATTAAAATTAATCTGTCAAAAAACAACGAATAAAATCATCAAATAAAATCGTAACATTTCAGTAATAGTAACGCAAATATACATAAATAAAACATTTGTGAACATTCGACATATATTTTGAGGTAAAAGGCTGAAATCAGTGAATGTCGTCAATCTTTTGCGTAAATGTGAAATAATGGTATTTAAAGATCTAAAGTGGATGAACTTAATGAACTTCGCCAGTGAATGTCGACAATCTCCCGTGTAAGTATGAAATAATATTATTTGAAGAGCTAAGTGGATGAACTTAATGAACTTCACCAGTGAATGTCGACAATCTCCTGTGTAAGTATTAAATAATATTATTTGAGGAGCTAGGTGGATGAACTAATGAACTTCGACAATGAATGTCGACAATCTCCTGTGTAAGTATGAAATAATATTATTTGAAGAGCTAAGTGGATGAACTTAATGAACTTCACCAGTGAATGTCGACACTCCCTTGTGAAAGTATGAAATAATATTATTTGAAGAGCTAAGTGGATGAACTTAGTGATCCTTTGCCAGTGAATGTCGACAATATCCCGTGTAAGTATAAAATAAGAAGGGCTAAGTGGATGAGGGAACTTAGTGATAATTTAGTGAATTTAAATGTATAAGTTTTATCATTTATACGTTGACATTAGGAAATTAAAATTATGCGTTGGGAACTCCTGGATCGAGTATTGGGAGAAATTTGCCTTCGTGGAGGACATTTTGATGGAACTAACCCGCATTTGCGTAACATGGAGAGGAAGACTACGAGAACCTCCCACGGTTAGCCTGACGGCAAGGGGACTTTAACCCATAATCCACCTGCCACTGAGGATATTTCACATCAGCACTGTGGTCGGTGAATGCCGGATGCGGATTCACATCGTTCAGCCGTTGGTGGGATTCGAACCCGGTTCACTTCATTGAAGGCGAACGCTCCATCCTCTGAGCCATCACGGCTCAAGGGTTAAATATTAAAAGATTAGATCACAACCGCTTTTCATTTTCACAAATCCATTGCTTTTTCTATATAATTGACGTTTTGCGCCATTTTCAGAATTAGCACAGAGAACATACTGGCTAAAGATAAGCTTAACTGAACAGTCGGGAATAACTGTTGTAAACTCAACAGTTATGAAAACAGAACATTATTAAAAAAAAAGAAAAAAAAAAGAACTTAATTTATAATGACGAAAGAAATTTCATTTCCCCCCACAAAGCTTTTCATTTATCAAATATGGACATTCACCGAAATAAATATATGAATGTCGACATTCACGAGATTTCAGACCTTCACAATAGCGGTTATAAATTTAAGGTGTGTAATTAAATGCAAGTGACATTTAAAATATCCGGATCTTCGGTATATTCGGAATACCTGAACCCGGATCCTTTAAGTTTATTAAATGCTTCAAAAAATTTTTTCAAAACAATGAACATTTTAAAAAAGATAATTAAATACGACATAAAAATTAACAGATTACACTTATTAGCTATCGGAGTATTTTGTTAAATTTGTTTTCTGATCCTTACATTTCATTATTTTTTTCCACTAAAATTTCTATTGATACTCTATAAACTATAAATGTTGATAAATTTGGGTTTTTATAGACAGTAATGATAAATTCAATAATGCTTTAAAAAAAAGGATCAAAAGATATTGTTAAAAAAGGCTACTAAATTTGATGGAAAAAATTTTTTAACATCATAATTTCTTAGCTTTTAAGGAAAAATCTAAGTACGAGTTTTATGATTAATAAATATTTTTTAAAACAAAAATTTTTAACACAATTTTTTAGCTCTTAAAAATAATCTAAGAATTATTTTCTTGATCAATAAATATTTTTTTATGTAAAACTTTTTAAAATTATAAATTTTTAGCTTTTAAAAATAATCTAAGAATTATTTTCTTGATCAGTATATATTTTTTTAAGCAAAACTTTTTAAAATTATAAATTTTTAGCTTTTGAAAATAATCTAAGAATTATTTTCTTGAACAGTATATATTTTTTTGAGTAAAACTTTTTAAAATTATAAATTTTTAGCTTTTGAAAATAATCTAAGAATTATTTTCTTGAACAGTATATATTTTTTTAAGTAAAACTTTTTAAAATTATAAATGTTTAGCTTTCGAAAATAATCTAAAAATGATTTTTTGATCTTTAAATATTGTTTAAACAAAAAACGTACACAAAATAAATTAAATATAGGAATCCTATTTAGTAGTTTTTTTATTTTCGATAAAAAATATTTTTTGTGACTTTTCTTTCCACTGCATTTCTACTTTTATAGTTCACTTTCAAAAGAGAAATAAAATATTTTTGTGCCTTATTATGTAAAAAAAAATAAAGAAATAAAATAATTAACGTAGAAACTACTAAATTATTTTCTTTAAATACCCGTATGAACATTTCAACAAGAATTAAAAGACTGCAAATTTTTGAGGTTGTTTAAGAAAATCCGATGAGAATTCAATTTATCCAATGAAAAATAGTAAAATAAATGCTGTGTGAAATTATTAAAACGTAATGAAAAAAGTGAACTACTCAATAATTTGATCATTAAACCAATAAAAATAGCATCTGAAACATGCGACAAAAATAAAATATTCAATAATTTGTTCAGTTTCTGACTAGAAATTTCACAAATATAAGTATCACACAATAAATAAATAAATAAACACCCGTAATCTTATAAAAATATTTTTTTTTTGTAACTGTGACTGTATTCCTTTAAGTAAAAGTAAGGAAATCGCACCAAAATGACTCTTTTCCTCTATAAACAAATATTTCGTACTTCTAATAATTTTAAACGTCACTTCAAATTCCATTAAACATATGATTTTCATTTTCCGTTCATTTATCTTACAAATTCAAAAGGTTCATAGTAACAAATGTTAATTAAAATCGGTGTAAAAGCTCTAAATTTCTTATAAATTAAGCACTTGGATACGAATTAATACACATTTTACGAATTTTTGATAATACTTGAAGGATTATATGTTCCTTAAATAGGTTGTAATCCATTTTATATCTCGCATAGTATTTCCATTTTCCCTAGTATGTGTTGTACACTGCCTGGTTAGAAAAAAAAAAATGTGTCTACAAAATTTCAGGCATGCAGTTTTTAAAATAGCGACGAACGCTTACGTGCTAGTAAAATCAACTCAGTGAACATCGATTACTTTTTGTCGAATAATACAGAAACAACCTTTGAATAATAGAAACGAGTTTAAGAAAAATATAACCATTTTGTCTTCGTTACCGTTTTTCACTAAGTGTTTCACTTGGTATTTCTTTTCATTATTTTTACGAGTTGGTTTGGTTTATTATTAATTTATTATTAATTATTAATTTATTATTTATTATTAATTAATTTTTTTTCTTATCATCCCACACATTCAAATACGTTTATCCTGTACAAGATCCGAAGACAGTTTGTTCTGTAATTATTGTGTTACACAGAATGTGCGCACATCAATGAGAAGACGTTGTATAAAAATGCTAAATCTCTCTATTTACTGCTTTTCAATATTTAATAATGCGATGAACAGCTCGTTAACCAATCCGGTAGTTTCTTAGATAATACAGACTAATAAGACGACCCTTCTTGCAATGTTTCTTTCATGTAGAAACGTATGACAAGTTATGACTTTGAAATAATAGATTAAATTTTAATAATTAACCACGAAGCTATGTTGTTGTTGTTGTCCTTGTCCATTTACGTCGCAATAGAGCTGTACATTGGTGACGGTTTGGGAAACATTCCTAAGGATGATCCGAAGACATGCCATCACAATTTTGATCCTTTGCAGAGGAAATGGCACCCCAGCTTCGGTAGCCCGACGACCTGCACGCGAAGTCGAGCACTTTATGGTAGAACAGTTTAACGGGGACCAATACACCCTCGATCCCTTCTCAGACTGCTCGAAGTGGTCCCCCACCCGCACACTGACCGCAGCCAGTGTTGCTTGACTTCAGTGATCTGCTGGGAACCGTGTCTTAACGATCAGTCCATTGCGGGACACCACGAAGTTATGAATACTAAAGGAAGGAATGTAAACATTAATTGCTATTTTAAAAATTGCATTTCAGAATTTCCATCTACCAAATTTTTTTCGTAGGGAAGGCAGTGTACTCAGTTACAGATGAATGCACACAGAAATATCAATATTCAGATCAGCACTTTCTTACAAATTAAGGCCGAAAACAATGTACGCAGTACACCATAAAACGCACACACTTTTTGATGTATTGCACATAAAAAAACAAATAAGTTCTTTCCTTTTATCTTCTGCAGAAGTTCTTTTTCCAACAGGCTGAGTTATAAAACAGTTCTTTTTTTTTCTTCGAAAACATATTCTATTTAGTAATCTGTGTTAGTGTTTCTTTTGTTGCGTTGTTGGAATCGTTAGATCCTGTGTGTCATTTGAGGGCTGCTGTTGTCCTAGGGATCGCAACATTCTGCGACACAAACTTCGGATTCGGACGGGCGACACCAACCACTGGAAGTAGTCAGGATCGACGCTCTCGTAGCCTGCACGAACCATTTGTACAAGTTCCGGTACTGTTCGGGGTTGCCGCGTTGTTGGTAAAGTGGCCTCCACTTCCGGCCAAAGTAAATCACAAGGATTTAGATCAGCAGATCTGGCTGGCCACTCTACGCACTGCACTTGCTGCTGGCATAGAAAGTCTTCCACAACAGGACTAGCTTGAATCGAAGCTTTATCTTGGGCAAATAGGAATCTGAAATGAATTTCGTATTAATATACATTTTATATATATAGTAACTACTAAACTAAACTCAGTGGTGCGATAGCCCATAGAGATCCCTCTATGGGCTGTCATCCATTCAAGGCCTACTGTGCCCATCTAATTCTTGACATTTGGGCTCTGAGGTGCAAGAGCAGAGGTTCCGGATGGGTGGTCAGCCCAACGCATGCTTGGTACTGATTTTCTCGGCTGATTTTAAAGGCTGAGTCAACTTTGCCCGGTCCAAGGATCGAACCAGGGACCTGTGGCACAACAGCGCGAAGCGCTACCGTTCAGCCACCGGGCGTCTTATATACATAGTATGTTGTTGGAATGTTTGGTATTATGTAAAAACTTGCATTACGTCTTATAGTTTTTGTAAACTATACCAGTCAATGACATTTGCAGTTGGTTTTGTTCGTGTAAAAATCAATTAAGTTTCTTATTTTTTTATTTTTATTTTTAGAAAAATTAAATTTTATTACTTAAGTCCAGGATGTACTAAAAAATAAAAAGAAACCAATGCTCGCCAAAAATGGAATTTCTGTAGTTTCAGAAAATAATTGTGCTAGTGGTTGTCTAGATAATATATTCATATCCTCCAACTCCTACGGAATTTCGTGCTCTCAGAAAATATTTTCCCCAGTGGTAGCAGAGATAATATATAATTAAACTTAATAGAATTTTGTTCACCAACCTTCAGCGTTTTAGGGAAAAATTTCATCTAGTGGTAACTAAATTTATATTTTAATGTATTATTACTTTTAAATGAAAATTTGATTTAAAGTTATTTTTTAACCACTACTTGTAAATGATTTAAAAGTTTCTACGAAACTTCACTTTGTCTCAGCTCTCTCGTGGTGATGCTTTTAAAGCGGTAGCAAAATTACAAAAAATTCTGAAAGCTTTAGTTTTTAATTGTCTACCATTCCCATAAAATATTTTGTAAAACGTGTAGTAGTTAGCAGCTCTGTTGCTTATAAGTTACCTATAAATTATTTTAGAAATATATGTAAAAGTCAGATTGATAAGCGCTCTCGTTCATATAATTTGATAGACGTTTTAAAAAAAACTCCATTTGTTTCAAAATTTCTGCATCAGCTTACTACCATTGGAAAAAATACATCGCATTAACTTAAAAATGTTGGAAGTCATTAGGATGCTTAAAATGTTTAAAATGGAATAGAGAAATTAAGAGGAATAAAACATTTATACTATATTCGTAATCGGCACAATATTTTAACACGTTAAATGCCATAGGGGTCACCGGTGACCGGCGAAGTCAAGATTATTAGAAACACATATTTCGAGTAAATTTTTTTATTTTATTTATTATTATCGTTACTAAATTGGTTTGAAGAAATTAATGCAATATAGAACACACAAAAATAATTTTATTTATATACACAAAGATGCCAACTTGCTCCGGACCGCGAATAATTATTTTCAAGTGGTAGTTTATTAATTGTGATTCTGGGTTTAATAAATTCAATTTAGTAGATTTTTATCCTCCTCTATTTCTAAACAATTCGTAGGTTTATATAATTCACCATTTTTTTTCAAATATGTCATTAAACCCTTTAAAAAAATAGCAAATATGTCTAATATTTGGAAATTTATTTTGTAGTTATTTACCGTTTGGCCAGACGGGCAAGCCATGTAAAATTAGCGAGGTATTCAAAGTGTTAATAATTTCAACTGTAAAAACATAAATGCAAAAGCTAGTTTTTGAGATATTAATTTGAAAGTGGAAGGTAATAGTAAAAAAAGTTGAAAGTTTTCTTGTCTATTATGAAACTGGTATTATTTTTTAAACACTATATGAACCATTTGACAAAAACTGTTAGCATTCGTGCAAATTTTCCCTTGAGGATGATATTCCCAAGTAGTAACGTTATTCTTTTAAGCCTTTGTGGAAGTAATTTATTGAAAAAAAAAATTCTTTTTATTTTAATTATTATTTTACTAGCATTTTGAGATACACTTTTCTAACAATCGTACCATTAGGTAGCATTTGAGAAACTATGGAATTCCACTTGGGAAAATCATCTTCGAATAGAATATGTGCCGTAAGGTATGAATTAGATTTTAAAAACAGAATATAATTGAAAATTGATATTAAATATTACCACTGTATAACTTAAAGCTTCATTTATATAGTAAAAACGATGTTTTAATGTTTAATAAATGTAGGATATAGTTTCATTTACAGTAAATTTGTATTATGACTAATGAAAGATGCATATGGAACTAGTCGAGTCATGCTGATGTTAAAGTTCCGGATTATCTAGCTTAAGTAGCGAGACTATTTCGTCCTTTGTGCCGCTTTCGATTTAGATTGGCTACCGCTTATCACATGGGTAAACAGTCGCCATATTGGTGATTAGTTTGAATGGCAAAGTATCATTGCACCTGATATATTATTTCGATTTTTTTAAGCTTTATTTATTTCATATTTTTAAATTAATAATTACAGGTTGCTACGCATTTGGTTGTTCTAATAAGTCAAATTTGGACTTTAAATTACATCGTTTATCTGTGGGCAATCACAATATAAAACGACGGAAAGTATATTGACGGAGATAACTGGAATCCAAGCGAAAACAGCAGATTATGTGAGGTTAGTTTGAATTTAATTTATTTATTCATTTATTTCAAATTTTACCTGATATTATTTATTAATTATGTAGAGCATAGATGTTTTTTTTTCAAATAAGAGTAGTTTTTTTTCTTCTTTCAAACTAGTATTCACCTGAAAGAAATGAGAAATTAGACTACAAATATTGTTTTTAACTTAATGTTTTCGTTAGAAATCTTCAAAAATAGATTTTAATAGCATTTAAATATTGGAGTGATTTTGCTGCCAGAAATATAAGTAACAGAGTGTAACATATTACATATTTTTCAACTGAGTAATTTTAAAATTTCTACGTTTTAATAGGGATATCTAATTCCTAACTGAACTATTAGTTTCTTGATTTTTTTTAAAAAAAATTTCATACATTATGTAACTTTTAAAAGTTTTCAGTGATCAAATTAATGAGCATGGATATGTATTGATCTTTCATCCTTAACACGTTGAATGTCACACGCTAATTTTACATGGTTTGCCCGTCTGGCCAAACGGTAAATAACTACAAAATAAATTTGCAAATATTAGACAGATTTTGCTAGCTTTTTCAAAGGTTTAGTATGACACATCTGAAAAAGTGGCGAAATATATAAGCCTACGAATTGTTTAGAAATAGTGATGAATAAAAATCTACTAAATTTAATTTATTAAATCAAGAATCACAATTCATAAACTACCACTTGCAAATATTTTTTCGCTGTCCGGAGCAAGTTGGCATCTCTGTGTACATGAATAAAACTATTTTTGTGTGTTCTATATTGCATTATTTTCTTCAAATCATTTTAGAAACGATAATAATATTAAAAATTAAAAATTTACTCGAATTATGTGTTTCTAACAATCTTGGCTTCGCCGGTCACCGGTGACCCCCGTGGCATTGAACGTGTTAATGTGCAGGGGATTTATGATCATTCAATGCGATCATGAGATTTGGAAATACCTAAAAATAAGCCATTTCGACTTTATCGAATCTGGCTTAAAGATTGACGCTAGGTCGTTTTTATTAAAAACAGATCGTGCATTTCGTGCATTAGCTTCTCAGAATAAGAGCCTACCTGTGAGCATTCAGACCATACATAGCTGCAGCTGAAGGTAGAAGCCCATTGTGCAATATTTGGACATATCTCTCCTCCGTAAGTTCATTAGGAATGTGTAAAAGTTGACCCTTCTTTCCAGAGCCTGAAATGCACACCCAGAAAGTGGCAGAAAGACCTCCACGCTGAAAAAATTCTTGCAGACCCGAGTAACTGTCCAAAGGGGGCTGACCAAGCCTCCACACTCTTACACCACCGTCTCTGTCCGAAAGAAAGATCTTCATGTCACTGAACACCATGTAGCTGAGTTCTTCGGTTGAGAAGGAACAGATCTCTTGCAAAGTCCGAGGAGGTTTGGTGGGCTGTTTTTCAGCTGGAGGTAGAGGGGGTGGATTCTGCGGGGGTGGTTGATGGTGTTGGTTCAGTTTATTGCATTGTTGGTTGTGCGGAGATACGCTTTCTAGCTTGGGACTGGGTGGCGACTGAATTCCAAGCTGAGATCGAAGTTCTTTCAGACGCCGGCGAACGGTTATGGTGGTGCTTCGGTTGCTGGAGGTAGGACCTGTCGGTACTTTTCGGTTTTCTTCCTGCCATCGAGATTTAAGTGGGTGAGAATGGGGTACCAATCTAGATGAAAGAGGAAGACTATGTTTTAAAAATGTAAAAGACTTTAATATTTGAAGAATGAAAAGCAATTATACTGAGTCTAACACAAATGTTACTACGTACTCAGTCAAACGTAATCAAACTAAGTCGGTTTTTAAAATAAAAAGGAGGAAAGATCACTAGAGTCAGACCATCAAACGACTGTTTTAGTAATTGTTGACTTTTTGGACAGTGAAGGGTAGATAGGGAATACCTCTGACTTACTCATTAAAAAAGTACAAAATAGGAATCCTTGTATGTCCGAAAAATCATGCCAGTGAAGGTTTTATGATTTGAGAAGGCATGATGTTGTATGTAGGCACGACGACCTTTTCATGTCTTCGTAAGAGGCACTGCTACTAGTTTTAGTATACGTGTTCTTAGAACCTTTCCCATTTTTATAGGATTCATTTGGTTTTGATGCCATATTAATGAGCGACATTGACCTCATTTTGTCAAGGATATTCTGGAATCGAAAGATATTTGTAGGATGGTTTGAACAGCTGCCTCTCTTGACCTGCACCCGATAGAAGTAATTTGGGAAAACCTCGGTGGACTGCTTTGAATATCTCTATACGATTCTTTCGAGAGCTGGAACATGAGTAATTTGGTGACTGACAACTTAATTTGCTGTACGGGAAATGCTGACGCAGTGCAATTAGTGGTGGACACGTAATCCATTTATCCATGCATATTATAATCCATTTTCGTAATGTTTCCATGTCAATTTCTAATACAAAACTGTGTTGCGTTATTTTCTCAAAAAAGGTACTTTTATGCGAAATGTTCTGTTTTTTTTCCAATTTTTTATTATTATTATTATTGTATTTACGTACAATTTTGATTTTGGTCTTTAAACGTATTAGATTGAATTTAAAGTAATTAATATTTATATTATCAATATTTATATATTTATCAATATTTTACAGTAATAAAATATTTATTTCAATAAAATTAGATATTTTTTCAAGAAAACATTTATAAAGTAAAAGGATAAGTTTAAAATTCATGGAAGGAACTTTACGTATTCTTTACTATTTAACAAAATTTTTAGGACTATGAATTGGAGGACTCTGACTCTAATTTTACTGAATTACAATTACTACACTAATTGTGCTGTGATAATGCTTTATTAAGCACTAATTTATTTTGAAAAAAAATATTGCATTATTAAATTGAAACATTGAATAATTCTGTGATTATTTTTAACTTATCATGAAATTTATAACCTGAAACACTATTTTTAATTGAGACATTATGTATAATAATACTAATAAATATACTATACATAATAATACTAATAAATATATTATGCATAATAATACTTATAAATATACTATACAATTGTATTACGTATAACTAAGAAAAATCAGAACATGCATTGAAAGTTCGTTTCAGCAAGCTTCAAACTAAACTTTGCATATTAATCAGTTTTTAAAAAAATACTATATATTCGAATAAATATCTAATTATAATAAATTTATGTTTAACAGTCTGAATAAAATCGGCCATTAAACTCATGTAATTGTTAAAAGAGGTGTGCTTTTCCCTCGGTGCTTTTTTCCAATGATCTTTATCCTTGCTTTTTCAACTAGAGCTCCCCCCCCCAGAGCTTTTTCCTGTGGTTCTAGTATGAAGTGTCACTCATTACAAGGAAATTCTTAAACTCTTTGTGTGTATGGTGAAAATCCGTATTTGTTGTACCCGATGCAAGCAAATTCTATTAAAAATAACAGATTTAAACAACCTTTCATTTAAGTTTAAAAAAATTTAAACAGTGTTTCTTGAAAATTAACTAAATTCAAACAGTATTCCAATAAAACTTATAAAATTTAAACAGTATTCCACTAAAATAACGAAAATTAAAACATTCTATGAAAATTAAGTTGTTCCATGAAAAATAATTTTTGTCAATATCTTAAAACCTTGACGTGATAGGGCAAAACAGTTTCCGTAGTTGAAACCAGCATAACAAACTACATTAAGAAAGGTAAACATCATGCTAACATATCTACAGCTTGTTTATCAATGTTATATTTATCAATGCAATTTTTTTTATGGAAGTAGTTCTTCTATTATTTTAAAATATGAAGTCAGTCGGTTATTTTTTTATATTTAGTTTTTCATCAATTATCTAAAATTTTATTTTTTGAAAAAAAAATTAAAAATTTTATATTTTATTTCGGAAAGTTCTTGGGACGCCTAATATTGAGCAATAGTGGGTAAGTGCAATTATTTTCGCACCTATTACGTAAAATTCAGTTGTTTTTCTCATGTATTTTAAAATCGGTTTCATATTTTGGATAAAATAAAAATAATAAAACAAAAATGAATTAAAATATTAAAAAAATTCAAAACCGTCAGCTTCTGCATTGTCGTCTGCTGTTTTCCAAACAGTATTGTTTTCACCCTCATTAACTGTGTTATTTTTTAGAAAAATGTCTCTGAAAACAAAAGATTTTATGAAGCGTGCTACAAGCTAAACAAAGCAGCAAAGGTCAAACGCATGAGAAAAATTGCCATAAATTGAAAGAGACGCAGATAATTCTTCCTCAAAACAAACAGCTGATACAAGAATAAACCTCAGCTTCACCTGCTAAGAGGATTATTATTTTACTTTTTTCATGCGAAATGTCAGATAACAGTAAACCATCGATATTATTACATTCTCTTCTTTTTTTGCATTTGATTTGTTCTGCTGGATTCAATTCATTGATAAGAAAGATATTGCTTCTACAATCGAATTTGAAAATCTGTGTATAGGTAGAAAGAGACATTTTCTGTTGGATTTTTTTTTTCTATTTCGTTCTTGTAATTTTTTGTATTTTGTCTACATAATATAAATGTTACTATAAATAGGTGAAATCCAATTTTATGCAAAATAATGAACAAAAAAGAAGACGTTCAAAGATTAATTTCACCCTAATTAATTTCATCCCCTGCAATTTAATTCTAGTTTAAATTATCAACCCGTATAACAGTACAACTATTTGCATAACAGTAAGTAATCAAATTTAAAAACATTAAATTTATAAGTATGTCAGTAACTGAGAAAATCAATAAATCGATAAAAAAGCAAACCAAGAATCATCAAAATCAATACAAAGCGAAAGAATAACTCAAAATGATTTAGAGATTCAAAGAAGGAAGTAATCTATAAATAAGTGAATTAATAAATGAACATTTAGACGAATCAACATTTTAACAAACTTATGAATTGTTAAATCAACAATCCAATAAATATATGGATCAGTGAATCCAAGAATCATTTTAAATTAAGGATGGAATCCATATGTCAGTGGAACAATAATTGAGCTAGTCAAAGTATCAGTGAATCAATAATCAAGGAATCGGTGAAATAAAGGAATCACCGTGTTAGCAAATCCATGAATGAACTGCTAATCAGCAAATTTTTCGTTGATATTGTAGTTTGTTCATTTGAGATTCACTCGTTAATTGGTTTGGTAATTCATTTAGTTACTTTTTACTCATTTACTTATTCGTTGTTTTATTTATTCGTTTAAATACTAGTTCATTGATTCGCCGATATATAATTCGATTTATTTTATTCTGTTCCTAGAAATTCGGCTACTTACTGTTACTACTTACTGTTTAATTCGGCTACTTACTGTTATACGTCTAGTAAGAACACGTTTTCATTGAAGTAAAAAAACGAAATAAAATTTTAATTTTTGTCCGTAATAAGAATGTGAAATAACTGGCGATCGTAGATACTTCACATTTTTACTATAAGTATTCTGTTTATAAGTATCATATGTATAAGTATCATAATAAGTATCATATATCGTATTTGGAAGTCATATGGAGGAAGGAATAAGCAACTTATGTTAATTCGAACAGCGGTAGGTAGAAGATTGTCTTGTCTCCTTCGCCAACTGATTTTAGCTGGGTAAAATGGAATGGCTTTTCCGCCTAGGGTCACTTCACCCATTCCATCCAGGAACATTTCAATACATACATTTTCAATTTTAATTTAACTTTTCCACTGCTATGAACAAATAAGATTTTATTACACACTACCTTAGACAATTGGCCTTAAAGGTAATCAACACTATACCCAAAAATGTCATCAAGAATTTTGCTGATGACAGTGAAATTGCTTGATCATACAGGACAGGTAATGGCATTTTTAAAGAGACTCCTTGAAGAAAATTTATTCCTTGCCAAAATAATCCAGATCCCTGCTCTGTCTTTAGAAGCGAAGTTCTTGCAATCAATAAAAGACCTAAAAGGGTATACTGATTGAAGTGATTTTTGATCAACTACGGCGATTATATCAGACAACCGCAGCTGAATACAATACCTTAGTAATAGAATTCTTGTAGGTGATAGAGTCTACAGAAATTGCAGATTATTTCTCAGTTCCATGATATATATTTCTGTGGGCTCCCTCAGATGTCAGATTTTATGGTAACAGGATGGCAAATAAACTATCTTATTCCTACTTCTACTGTTCTAACTTATCAAGAATTATTCTCTATGAAAAATGCGCAACTTAAAACTGAGTGTTTGGTGCGTAGAGTCTTATTTGGGTAGAAAGCCGGGTTGGACCTTGCTTGGGACCCAAGCTTTCAGAAGGGTTTCTCACGGTTAGCTAGTGGCCACATTAAGAGCATTTTCAAAGATGGTTTGTAAATCTTCGAAATCTGCATAAAATGCCACGACACGAGGCTTCTGCCAAACACATTCTGGAATGTTTGGGCCTCACCACGGAGAAAATTAATTCAAATCCTTTCTTTATCATTGACTTTCTTCGAGTCAATTGTCTTTTGGACCTGGCTTGACTTCGTTTTTCCCCTTTTTTTGGATGATTAGAAGCCACCGCAGACAAGTAATTATTCCACAAAACGAAATTCACAATTTAAGGCAACAAATTTCAGTTGGGGTCAAAATTATGAGACTATCAAGGTATAAGCAAAATCTATCTATTCAGTTCCTTTTAGAAAATAAATTAATATATTCGTGGGTAAATACTGAAGTAGCTCTGAAGGTTGTCATTTAACTCTTACCACTGATAATGGAGATGGATTGCGCCGTTTTGGTGTTTTTACTCCTTCCTGTCCAATTCATTTTAACGTACGTACGCTAATAATTTATTTAACTCACGTATACTATAAATTCAATTTTTCTGTTAACTTACATCAGACTCAGTTTGTAACATCGCTTTGTGTTCTTCCCTTGAGTATGTAATGTCATTTAAGTCTGACACAAAATAATGATACTTTCAGTTCTTGCGCAATTAAGCTCTTCTTTCAATCAATCTAGCATACGATTCATTAACTAGATCAATTCTGTAAATACGCAAAAAGTAGTTTCTTTGCTAGAAGGAGCTTGTATAACATCCCTAGCATCAATTTTACCTGTTCCCCAGTTGAGCTCAATATGAATATTCATATGAGTACATGAATATTCACCGAGAGATCAGTATTGGGATGCTTAGAATTTTTAATAGTGGTCCTATATAGGGCCAATGTCGGCCTATATACAGCCAATATAGGGTAATCGGCCCATATACGAGCAATATACGGCCTATATTGGCTGAATAATGAATCTAAAATATTGGGTGATCTAAAAGCTCTATATAGGACCGATATTGGCTGTAAAATATCGAGTGAATCGGACTATTCTATGTAGGACCAAAATCGGAAATATTGGTCCAATGAGAGCACAAGTAGTTTTGCTGCTAGGGGTTGTCTAGTAAAATTCAACGGCGAAGAGAATAAATTCTCTATGATACAAACTCTACGTCTATACTCTATGCCTTTTACTACAATAGTAGACACAAAATAGGCTATAGCCCCATTACAGTCGGGCGAACCTTACCGACCACTTACCATTTATGTTTTTCTAATTTTCAGCTGCCGCAGTGTCTATTTTGTACATGAATCTATTTTGGAAGCTAAATTAAACGGGGCTAAGTAAAACACTTCTCTTTACTGGGAATCTTTATATCAGTCTAACAATTTATAATTTTTGTTCCAAAATTCCAAACATAATAAATTCGTAGAATATTTTCTCGAATAAATTCGTGGAAAATCAATTTTCACTGGCTTAAATTTGAGAGTAGCAAAATTCTTTTGAATTTTAGTTTTATAAATTCATACCAGAGATACATCAACCTAAATACAAATTAAAATATTTGAATAGATCTAGTACATGAAAACACGTTGCCATTTCCATAAATTGTTAGCAATGCGTTTTTATTACCGCTTTCAGTATTTGTGAAGCAGATAATTCAAATATGCTTTTATTTGAGTATTTAAAGAAATTTCTGATGGAGAAAAATTTCTAAATGTAGAACATTTTCTCTTTTTTTTTCTTCCTAGGACACTTTCACCGAATCTACACCTTGTCATCCACTTGTCGAACGTTTATTTGAGATACACTTATTTGAGATAAAAGTTTTGCTGCCCTTTGAATCTGTGTATTCCAATCACATCCAGGTCAACGATGAAGTAAGTATGTAGTGAAACAGGGACACGATTCTGATTCTACACTTAAAGTCTTATCATTCGCTGCTAAGGTGATCTTCCTGGCTTCCTTGTGAGGCCCTCACTACAAATTTTTCCTTTAATTTTTTGCTTATTTTTAATCAATTTTTTTTAATAAATTAAACTATTGTATAGCAATTATTCCCTACAGATTTAGGGATCAGAATGATCCAGAATTCCAGAAGACCAACAACTGCTAATATTTCTGTTTTGCTGTAAGTGATGCAAAAAATTAAGGAAATAAAATTCATGCGTTAACTGACAAAAAAAAATATGTTTCATAATTGCGAATGTACAAAAAAATACATAGTTAATTACAATCAGCTATTCAGCAAACCTCTTAGAAGTGGTGGAGGACTGTATTTGAAAAACTTATCGCTTCGAAAAAATTAATGCTCTAATTAATGCTCTTGAAAAGATTAATGCTCTAATACTAGCATCAAAAAGGACTAAATAAAAAGCTCTTTCTATATTACTCCGTAAGAAGTTCGAAATTCAAGAAGGTGCGAATGCCATTTGATAAACTGAGACTTTCTGATACTGAACATGATGACGTGCAAAGGAATGTGCTGCATCAGGTGTAGCCTAGATTGGTCCACAAAATTAATCAAAGTGACTCGATTACCTTTATAGAAACCTGGGACGAAAATTATTTAAACTTAAGTGGTCGTTTATTCGCAGAGATATGTCTACTTATTTTGAAGACTGGTTTACTGCCACTTAATTATTTTGGGTAGACCTTTAAGAGACTAGCACATAAGAATGCTTTATTGAATAATCGCAAAATCCATAAAAAGAACATAAAATATATATATGAACTAGATCAGTGTTTCCCAACCTTTTTATCACCGCTGACCTGTCAACATTTGATAATTTTACCTCGGCCCGCACGGAGGGCGTTGACTGTTTATATTTTAGATTGTTTTGATTTATTAATTTAAATTTAATTGTATTTAAACATGCCTTCAAAATAAAATACAGTTACATTCAAAAAATTAATATAAAGGGATTTAACTTTTTAACTTACTAGAACGTTAAATCAATGAGAACCCCGAACTTGTTTCTTTGCAATGAGACTGTTCCATCTGGGGGTAATCGGAGACAATGATACATTACAAATATTAAAAAAATGTATGTCACTACCTTCGGGGGCCCTTTTTTTTTAAAAATAAGTAAAATTTTTATGGAACATAGATGTTTTTAATTTGGAGTATAAACCTAGGAATTTAAATTCAGTTTCAAAGAAATGGGCGGACCGGTACCATTTGACCGGTCCGTGGACCGGGGGTTGGGGAACACTGAACTAGATGATCAGATTCATTGGTAATCAAGAAAGTGGGGATGTTCTCACCTGTTGTGGACAGGAAGTTGTTGATCCTCTCCATTGTGGACTTGCTGTTGTTGAGGATGGTGTTGGGTGAGGGCACGGGGCCTTCTTCTGTGAGGCAGATCGGCAATGCAACCGGTCTGCTGCCACTTGTGTACCAGGCGCATCACAGTGGTCCGGTGGCAGCCAAGCTCGGTAGCAATCTTTGTCCAGGACCAACCCTGTTGGTGCAATGACAGGGCTCGGGTTCGCATACCTGCAGTGACAATACGCTTCTCAGAAAATAAATTTCTCTCATATAAGCATGCACATTTCCGATTGGGGAGGGGGGGAGGAAAATTCATAGCTGCCAACTTTTGCACTTGCCATGAACGACTTTTCCTAGTAGAAGGAGAAAAAAAAGAACTAAATTGACAATTGTATGCGATTTTTTTAAAAAGAAATTTCGCCAACAGTTATAGGTTCAATCTAATGTTTATGATGTTGTTTATTTACGAGTATATGGTTTACTTATATCCATGCAGTAGATAATTTTAAATAAAATGTTTAAAATGCGAGTTAATATATGAAATGATTTTGATACAAAATTTCGCAAAATGCGGTAGAGTTGGCAGCTATGTTACAGTTCATAAGTTGCAGCTAAGTTACAGTTCATAAAAGAGTTATTAGGTTTAATCTTGATTCGTAGATAGTATTGTAGCTCTTATAAGCACAGATGCAAATTGCTCCACTTTTTGGCAATTTTTTCCCAGTGGCATCAAGCTTCTAATGTTTGTTACTTGGTTAAGTGAGTTTTTCCTACCATGACGAATTAAAAATTCAGATGCACTTGTTAAACCCCACTTTGCTTTGTTATCTTGTGATGAGGCTCTCGAAATGTTAAGAAATTTAATTTTTAATTCTATATAGCTTTATTAAATTTTAAACTGCAAGCAGAGCAGTTGGCATCCTTGATGTAGTGTTAGTATTCCTTTCCGATAAATAAATTATGCAAAAACAGAACTATTTTAATATTTTTTTAGGTCTCAGGAACCAATCGACCAATTTCGCTCAAGCTTCAATTTTGGTCATTTTAAATTACTTTTTTAAAGAGTGTATAAATTTGTAAATTGTACCAATCAAATTGTTTCATTTAATGTTAAATTAAATAATAGCAAATAAATAATGACAAATAAAAAATGCGAATTTGAAATTCGTTTTGGATATTAAATTTCTTTGGGTTAACAGTTTCATAAATGTATGCAAAAGATTTTTGATTTCTATACATTTTTCAATCAACTAGTCAATTATTTTAAATCAAATTTATTGAAACAAAAAATATAAAACAAAAAATATAAAATAAAAAAAATATAAAATAATAAACTTATTAAAATAAAAATCTTCAAATTCACGAANAAAAAATATAAAATAAAAAAAATATAAAATAAAAAAAATATAAAATAAAAAAAATATAAAATAAAAAAAATATAAAATAAAAAAAATATAAAATAATAAACTCATTAAAATAAAAATCTTCAAATTCACGAATTTAGAAAGAATCTCTGATAGAAATTAAACAAAGCTGCGTGAAGTTAATGCTAGCCTTGTAAACGAAACTGTGAATATCAAAATTTCTCCCATAATTCCTGCTTTGTGACAAATTATTGAAAATGAAAAACGTGCCACCATCCTTTTTAGTTAGTTGTGGCAAAAACAAATTGAAAAATAAAAGTCTACACTAAGGCCAAAAACTTTTTATTTTTCTAGAAAGCATGCAAAATACAGATACACACAATCATAAACAATGTAAAAATAAGTACCATGCAAATTGATTCGATATATGTACTTAATATTTTTAGAATGAAAAATAAAGATCTTTAATGAAAAAGAATAATATCTATGTGCATTCTCAATATTTTTTATAATACTTAACATAGCATAATTAAGACAAAATATATCATATTATTTTACAAAAATATTTGTACATTCATTTACTAGCTGAATAACCGTTTTTCGTACAGCACAAAAAGAAATGAATAAATCAGTGTTAATCAACATTACGCAATCATGCAAACGTTGAAAGGTATATACCGATACATTTAAAATGGTTTAAATTTTTATTTATTGTTATAAGTTCCCCTGCCTAGTGACTTTACGTTATCAGATTAAATTAAACATGTTTTAAGAAGTTCAATTCGTCAAAATAAAGATTAACTAAGTTCAGTACCTTTTGGCACCGAAAATAATGTTAATGATTGAGCCTACTCATCATAGTCTAAATGTATCACTATCAAGACATTTTCTCGATGCGTTTTGCTCTTTATTGCATAACTTAATTCTTTTTATCGTTGATTTTTTATTATATAGTTTTATCGAACCACATTTCAAAAGAGTAACTACACATTAACAATATAAACACGTAGTTTCATCTATCAGTCGATCGATGAGTTTTCGTACACGTAGTTTCATCTATCAGTCGATCGATGCGTTTTCGTACACGTAGTTTCATCTATCGATGAGTTTTACTCTTTATTGCATAATTTAATTTCTTTATAGTCGACTTTTTATTATATAGTTTTATCGACCCACACATCAAAAACACAACTGCACATTAACAGTATAAACACGTAGTTGCATCTATCAGTTGATCAATGAGTTTTTGTACACGTAGTTTCATCTATCGATGAGTTTTGTTCTTTATTGCATATTTTAATTTCCTTATAGTTGATTTTTTATTACATAATTTTTTCGAACCACATTTCAAAAGCGTAACTACACATTAAAAATATAAACACGTAGTTTCATTTATATTCAAAAATACTAATTCAGAGACGATACCGTAATATGGTGATTTTAAATGTTGATAAAAATACATAAATATCCCGGGATAATAAAAATACATAAAAATGTGCAATAAACTCCCAGGGTAACCTGTCTTTGATTAAATATAGATTTAAGCCAGAAAACATAAACTGAAATAATATCTTTTAAATAATTAGGAGAAAAACACATTTAACTGTAGTTTTATTTGCAACCATGAGCTATACAAACTTTATGAGATTTTTTTTTCCGCATGTTTTTCCCGAACAGACTAGTCAAAAGTTTGGCGCAATTTTTAGGATCGATGGCTTAAATTGTCTAAATTTTAGGACATCAGAAGAAACGATTCTAAAAAATAGAGAGAGAGAGAGAAAGTGAGAGCACACTCTCTCTTTCTTTTATTTTTATAAATATATAATTTAATAAATTATATCAAAATAAAAATTTCATCCAAAATTCAAAAAAACATATTGCTTTTTTTTTAGTCATTAATGATATAGGAAGTCTCTTAGTCTTCCAATATCTATTGATCTATCAAATATGTAAGAGATAGACGATTTGTGACAAACTATTAAGAATTTTTGCGACCAATTCAATATGAAAAACTATGACTGATTAATTTCAAATGTGCAGCATTTAATTTGTTTCAATGGAAATATGTTACTATAAAGTTGATGAGTTAGTTATGGGATCTTTTATTCTTCTCAACTTGAATTAAAACTAGGTCAATTTTCTAACATTTTATTTGCATATATATTTTCAAAAATGATATTTTTTGTAAGGTTTTTGAATTTAAAATAGCTATTGTTTGAAACTTGAACGTTTAAAGGCTGTGGGATATTTTTTATTATGAAACTGCAGTTCTATGTTTATAAAATATTGATATTGTGAAAGGTTGATATTCTTTAATTTGCAATCTTCACTTATCATATTAATTACCAGCAACTTTGCATTGAAGAATTAATAAAAAGGTTTCAACGCTTGACCTTGATTAAATCAGAATAAATCATAAATAAGTGGGAAAAGTAAACAAATGTCACGATTCTTAAATATTCCAGTTATTTCCACAATTTCTAATTATGATCATGAACTGTAATGCTAAAGGACTATCCACTCTGACGTCGTCACTACGCTTTTCTAAAAGTTTCTCCTCTGCAGTGCACCACCAAAGTCAAGCATCACTGGCTGCGGTCAGTGTGCGGGTGGGTGACCACTTGAATCAGTCTGCGGTAGGGACCGAGGGTATGCGGTATTGGTCCTCTTCACTTCAAACTGTTCTACCGTTAAGTGCTCGACTTCGCACGCAGGTCGTCGCACGCAGTCGCTTCGCACGCAGTCGCAGGTTCGCACGCAAAAAAATGAAGAAAAAAAATCTGTCGAGGACAGAAAAAAGTTCATAATAACTAGAGTCCGGATTTTGATGACCTAAAAAATCTCAACTAATGCCCTTAAATTGCGCAAAAAATGCCTTAAATAAAGTAAAAATATTGAATTAAAAAAATTTTTGCTCTTTAAAATTATTATAAGTCATTTGAAAAATATGAAGCAATGCAATACTTGTTCTACGTTCATTAAAGTTTGAAAAATTTGTTTTATATCCTAAAATAACAAAAAAAGGAAAATATATTGAGACCAAAATATTTTTATTTTGTATAGAAACTTTAATGGATATAACAACTTCCATCTCATAATATTACTAAATATCAGAATTACATTGGATTATTAAATGTTTTTTGATAATTTGAAATGTAAACGATCGTCTCTTGTCTGAAAGTAAATTTTCATTCCTGCAGAAGCTTCTTTCAACGTCTACTGATGTTATAGGTGCGTACTTGAAAAAGACGGTCTCACTTACTGACAATTCTTCTTCAATTTGAAAAGATTTTGCTTCACCTGTTAATATTCTATAGATTTTCTTCACTGTTTGGAGGCCAGTGTAATAATGAAAATTGATAAAAAATAATAAAAATTAGCAAAAATTAACAAAAAACTTTAAGAAATGCATTAAAATGCAAAATACGCCCCAAAATTTAAAAAAAAAATGCCCTATAAATCTAAAAAAATGCTCTAAAAGACAAAAAATGTCCAAAAATGCAAATGTCATCAAATTCCGGGCCTTAATAATAACCAATTTCCTCTTTCCTTTTCGTTCGCTGTATCCACAAAAAATAATATTATATGTGTATAGTAAGGAACGGGAGCGAACATTTCATTCGCTATATCCGAGAGTTCACTATAAACCATGTTCACTACAGCGGGGTTTGACTGTATATTATTTTTTAAAAAGTCAACTGATTCAAATTTCGATTTTAATAATAATTTAAATCATGTCAACCTTGTTCGATACCAAATTTTATCTTTTTGAATAAAATAGCTAAATTTTATCCTTCTCTAATCAGATTTAGATTCAAGGGCAATCATGTTAAGTTTAATTTTTCTCTTTAAGAGCATATTTTT